ATTAAGCAGGCATGAAAATTATAATGATGGTAGTGGTAATGATATTTGTATTTGAATACGTGTGATACACTGTCTATATATATTATATGTTAAGCAATGAAGCGGTAGTTATAAATGTTTAAAAGAAAATTACCCCTGGTTGAGAAAGGCAACGTCACAGCGCTTTCTGAGATCTCACCACCTCACCACTGATATTGATATTCCGCTTATATTTTCAGTTTTTATCGTGCCCGGTTGGTAGGAAACTTACCGCATGTATAAAATGAGCGGTACAAATATACTTGGGAGATGATGCGCTAAAATATAAAACATAATTCTGCAGCAAATGTTGTGCGAGTGCCGCGTGTAACTTCAGCGCGCCGCGGAAGATGGAATTCTGGGCGCGATTTCTCGACGGCCGTGTTGCAAATCTTATCTCGTTCTTCTTTCCACACATAATACAGACATAGTTCTTAGACATCGTCATAGAACGTAATCTGAAAATTTTACGGTTTGCCATTATCTTAACTTCTAAGTACGAGAAAACGAACGGACGATAAGCAAAACGAGTAATTTATTCTGTTTTCTAAATGTATCTGACCAAGTACTTATTCCATCATACGAGTAACGACGTATTACTAAAACTTTATTTAAATGAATGGTTACGAGGATTTTTACTGTGTCTTTTCATGTGTGCAGGATGCCGCAGAAGTAGCACCCATGTGTCTTCCTCCACTTTTGTAATGAGCTAGGAAGATTCGCACCCAATTTGAGTGCTTTCCATTTTTTTCAGACTTTTGAAGTTGCAAAGTTTGAAAAGAGTATGGTTGAAGAATTTGACGCGTGCAGAGCATCTGCTGTATTACCTCATTTCTATCTACCAATACAGTATTTACACTGCCGCACACATTGTCAGTTTTCATGCTTTGATACAGACCTAGTCCCAACTGTGCAAAATTAGCGGGGAAGAATGGAGAAGGAAGACTTTCACAGGATGCTGCGGTGGTTGGAATCGAGAGATCTGCCTATCCGCTCGATTGAAACTGACCGCAGCCCTATGTACGGGACCGAGAACTCGATTGTGGAATTCTGTGAGCAGACTGAGTGGAGGTTTGACCCATGGCATCTCGCCAGACATGTTGACCAACATCTTCAAGCGGTAAGGAATCAGAATTCTGCGGTGTGTTCAAATAGAGGTGCTGAGGAAGTGGACATCGTCCATCAAAAGGCACCTTTGCTTTGCCGTCAAGCAAGGAGCGCTGGCACACGATGGCAGGATGCTATGCATGTTTTCAATACATGCATAAACCACGTCGCCGATATTTATAATCGGAATAAAGTGAAACCCTACTACAGATGAATAAGTCTGAAGATACAGACTGACATCACCG